TATTGTCTACTGGGAATAATATTTAATTGTTATAGTAAAGCCCAGCTGCCACCCATGAGTTTGTTTGTTGGAGATGCTTTATCTAGGTAGTTGAATGTTATCTGATACATTTACAACAGGACACGCTGTGTCTAAAGTTAAGAGTGCACAATTTGAATGTGAAGTTCTTTGTGCTAGATAACAATCTTTTTTGGTGTTTACTTATTTGCTCTGGTGCCTTTTACCTACTGACAGGTGGCTGCTGCTAAAGTAGATTTGAATTATATTGGATTAGATGGGGAAATTGGTTGCATGGTGAATGGTGCAGGATTAGCTATGGCTACAATGGATATCATTAAATTACACGGGGGAACTCCTGCCAATTTTCTCGATGTAGGCGGAAATGCTTCTGAAAACCAGGTAATGATGGAGTGATAGGAAATGAATGAACTGCTTGTCGGACCTTTTTTCCCCACTGTTGTCATCGAGTCTTTTTCTTTTTCAGCTTTATTCTTTACTTCTTTGGTATTAGGATCTGTTTTATATCTCAATTTGAATGTGGCTTTGGGTTTAAGATGGTTCACTAGTTTGTTAAAAAATTGATGATGCTCTTTGCGCAATGTGCACATGCATGTCTGAGTGCTAAAGCCTAATCCCAGTTTTTGTTATTGGTTTTACACTCCCCTGTTAAAGAATATGACTGATTTATAGCACATAAGAAACTCAAATTTCTTTCTGTTTCTCTAATTTTAAATTATGTGAAACAGGTTGTTGAGGCATTTAAGATTTTGACTTCTGATGAGAAAGTGAAAGCCATTTTGGTGAATATCTTTGGTGGAATAATGAAATGTGATGTGATTGCAAGTGGAATCGTCAATGCTGCTAAACAGGTGATTCTCCAATTAATTGCCATGTTTTGGCAAATTATTTCCTGGTGGATTCATTTTACTTGATATCACTTTGGATTGTGCTTAAGAAGGAGATTGAAATAATTTGGTTAATTGCTGCTGGGAGATGAATTTTGGGAAAAGAAAAAAAAAATTTCCACCAAGGAAGGAGCATTAACTTTTGTTCATCCATGTTCAAGGTTAAACTAGAAGTGCCCGTGGTCGTTCGTCTCGAAGGCACCAACGTTGACCAAGGAAAGAGAATTCTGAAGGTACCAATTAGAAATTTAGGATCCTAATACATGAAAGTACAGAGAAAAAAAAGTCAGTCATGGAAAATATATTCAGAATGTATATTAGAAACTTTACTGTTCATTAATGGCTGTGCAGGAAAGTGGAATGGCTTTAATTACAGCAGAAGATCTGGATGATGCTGCCGAGAAAGCGGTTAAAGCACTGAAGAAATAGATCCCTTGATTCTCTTTATAATTACATTATGAATATAATTCTTATTTTATCTTTTCCTTTTTCTCTTATGGTGACACTGATGTACTCTGTTGGTGTTTTGTGTATGACATTACATAACACACCACCTGCATAGTTCGATCATAATTGAAATTGTTTGGAAGCAAGTTTTGAGGCTATATTTGTTGTCAACGAATTTTCAATATTGCAGATAATTAGAAAAGAAATATTTTTCCAAAGGGGATCGAGTTCTGCTACATATTCAGTATAAGATTGAGTATTTTTAGATATTTTATTTTTTATCAATGAGGTTAAGGAATTCGATGGGTGAGTATTTCAGGTTGTGGATATGTAGATTGATCTCTTCACACAAGAACGCTGGAAAGCAAAAAACACACTATCAACATGCAAATATGCAATGGTTACTCCCCATTCTCTGGTAATTTGCCAACCCCAACAAAGACTATCCCTCTCCACTTGTGTCTCTCTTTTATGTGGGATCACATCACATCACGAGGAGAGAGGAGGAGCAGAGG